CAACATGCAAAGTACTCATGGACTCGGGCACACCATTCAGCAGCAAGTATACTGATACCATTGCAAAGCTACAGGAAGAATTTGATCACATGTTTTCAGACTTCAAAACACCCACAGCCACTTTTCAGCTTTTTGCAGACCTTTTCTCTTTCAATGTGGAAGATGCCCCTCTGCGCTTCTAATGGAGCTGAATGATCTTTAGTGCAATTCTAAGTTCAGGGAGATGAATGCAAAAAGAGACAAGCATAAACAATTTATGAGAGCGTTGCCCTCCATCTTTCCTGAGTTTTCCAGGTTGTTCAAGCGGATCATGTGCTTTTATGGGAGTAACTATGTGTGAAAAGCTCTTTTCCACTATGCAATTTAAAAAGTCAAAGTTCAGTGCCAAACTTACTGATGAGCATCTTCAAGCTAAACTAGTTGCTTCCTCACTCAAGCCAAATGTTGCTCAGTGGTGTAATAAGAAGCGCTGCCAGATCTCTGGCAACAAGAAGTAGGAGGAAGAAAGTGAAGCCTAGTTCTTGAGAATCCTTATTATCCAACAAGCAGGATACGGCAATCCCTAAAGCACCCAATAGCAGTAACAATATAAAAAAAAAAAATTACATCAACCTTATAGAACAACAAATCGAACTTTGACTAATTACCCGGTCTTGTCCTTGATCTTGGGCCCCAACGTGCATGACTTGCGTAGGCGTACAGCAGCAGTAGGGTACACTCATCACGGGTACAGCACCAGTGTAACATATCATCACAGGATTCGGATGTAGGAACAGAAGTATATTCAAAGTCAAAGCACGACTACTTGAGTAGTGTCTATTCACGGGACTTCACGGCAAAGCAGCGGGTTAAGGCAACCAGCAGGGTAGGAAACCAGCAGGGTACGGTAACACACAGGATATGGCAACACACCGGGTATGGCAACCAGTGGGGTCGGCGACAAGCAGGGTACGGCAACAAACAGGATACGGCAACAAGCAGGGTAAGGCGACCAACAGGGTATGGCAGCCAGCAGGATAAGACAACCAGCAGGATACGGCAACCACACAGGATACAGCAACCACACAGGATATGACAACCACACAGGATACGGCAACACACAGGGTACGGCAACCAGCAGGGTCAGCAACATACAGGGTACGGCAACACACAGGCTTCGGCAACACACAGGCATCGGCAACCTGCAGGGTTGTTTCAGTTTCAGACGGGCCCCCAAATGTTACGACTTTACTTTACTAACTTGCGACCTTCATCAAATGGCTCGGCCTTCTAGGGTGTATGAATCTCTCTCTCACATAAAACACAAGGTCCAGTGTAACAATATAATAATTTATTGCATACTTTACAAAACAGGATACTGCTATTCAATGACAATATACTATGGCGCATAGAACACATATCAGTCCAACTACCAACTATCCACTCTCCTAGCACTCCTACTCGACTAACCTTGACTGACAACATTTGACGACTAATAGTTCTTCTCTTGCTCTACCTTTCTTCTCTGACTCTAGCTAACACACATCCCCTTTTATATTACCACTCAAACAACTCAGCCTACGCAAACATTCCACACCACAGACTAACTTCACGCTCTGACCTCACGATCAACAACTCACAAAACACTCTCACGACTCCCCCTACCCAACATTCACAACAATCTAGTTCAAAACAATTTGTTTTTGATAAAAGGTTGAGCTGATTGTAACCTTTCTACTTTATTGAATTTGTATTCGCCTTTTTTGTGGAATACTGATGCGGCCCAGTCTCACTCAGACTCTACCTCCTGCGGCCCCCGGATGATTTTAGTTTGAGAGTTTGAGACCCTGGGCTACGGGTAAAATGAGACAATGTCTGGCAGGTTTGGTTCCAGGTGTTAACAAAAAAAAAGATTTCTTTTTATTTTCTAAAATGAGTTTCACCCAATGGAGACAAGTGAAAAAAGCTTGTATAGAACCAGTAGCCATCTTGAAGGCATCAAAAATGAATTAAATTTTAATAGTTTGACAATGTTAGTTACTTGTAAGGTTGAAGTATTATTATGTTGTTGTATTTGCCTTAATTATCCACGTTCACAATTAGCACAATTTCTTACAAGCACAAGGCGAACGTCATGAATTTGCATAACAGGTTTATTTGACAGAAATTACTCTTTACACTGTATAAAACACATCTCCTAAATTGGAGGGAACATAGTTGTCATCAACTTCTTTACTTCACACATATAATTCACACAGATTGGTTGGATAAATATTACGATACGCCTATCACCTATTGAATCTTATTTTTACTTCCATCATACTTCTGTCTTGTTGTACTTCTGTGTATGATCTATTCTATCTAATTAACGTCCTGTTAATCTTAACTTACGAAAGCAATACATAAACCGAAACAATTGCATATGTCAATATTTTATCTGTGACAAAAAGATTAATAATAAAATTTTAATTCTAACCTAGTGGTTCTCAACCTTTTTTGCCCTGTGACCTCTTTATTAAATTTGCCAAGTTGTGGCAAGCCACACATTATACCTTGAAATTGAGAAAAAAGGGTTGCGAATGGGAGAAGGGGCAGAGCTTTTTTGTAGATGAAAAGAAGTAGTGTTATTTTGAAGGGGGTGGAGGGGAGCAAAAAAAAAAAGGGCTAAGGAGGGAAGTGGTTCTGTAGAGGGGCTCTTTAAGTCAATCCCAATACATTTTTGATAAATTCATGCACCTGGTAAAGTTTTGCGTGGAAGCTGGTAACTTTTAAGTTTAGGCAACAACAAAAAAAATGAAACTGCAAAGAAGAAAATAAAAAAAAATAAATAAAAGCATATATATCTAATGTAATTTTTAAAAAATGAAAAGAAGCTGCTGAAATATTTATATTAAAGTAGCTGCTGACTTCTACTGAATGAATAATACTTTTAAAAACTTTTAGTTTTTGCATAAATATATGGCATCCTTACATCTTCGTGAGACGATGGAGTAGCTATGTAGTCCTATACTTCGAGGAGTGGCTCACTAGGCCAATCCTAGAATGACACTCTTGACCGCATCTCTCGCTGGAGAATATTGAAGTTTTAGCATAGTCATTTTAGAAATGAGAAACTAGTCCGCTCAATGTAAATAATATCTAAAGCTTAAAATGAAAATTAGAAAAAAATGACATTATACACACAACCACCTCCCCCACTCCACACATTTTTTGAAATTCTCAAGCAACCCCTGAGTTGTTGTGACCCAGAGGTTGGGAACCACTGCAAAAATATCAAACAAGGAGCAAAGCTTTGCTATTTTCATTAACCTTGCTGGTCGCTGATTGGTAGCAGTTTTCATGTTCGGATACAACTCATGCTTATATAAATGTTTATATCATCATAATTTCATCCTAGACTTCGTTCAGTTAATCTAATTGCCTTACTTATTAAATGAGAGTTCGGTGAAATTACTAATATTGAATTCTATGATAGAACAAAGAAATAATGCATGCAGTGCCGAGTTTTCTGTTAGTGAATTGATTGATTTCAGACTTCAGTAAGGGTGAGGAAGGTCAATGTTTAGTGGTAGTTCAACTTTTTAGAATGCAGTCAGATTTTTATTAGCTGCAGTCTGTTTGAGGAAAGACTCCATCAAATTACATTAGAGATATATTTACTCAACTTCAAAAAGGCATTAAGTGAGATGTAGGGTTTGAGGGAATTACCTTTAGTTTATTTAAATTTACTTTATTAACGACTACTATCTTATTAGCTATGATAATGTCCAGCAGTTTTGAAATAATTTTGTTTTCTTATGCAGCCTTCAAACATCATTGTAGACAGTAAAGGCAACATTCGTTTAAGCGGTTATAGTCTTGAAAGAAAGTAAGTGGTACCTTTACTTTTTAAATGTGAATAGGTTTAGAATATAATCTCTGCCAGTTGCATTTTCTTGTGTAAAGTGAAAGCTTGATTATTAATCTGAGTTATTTTTTATTTATTCTTAAGGAAATTTTATGCATATTGTTTCAATTATAATTTGTTGCCTTTCAAGTGGCTAGCTCTTATCATAGATAGTTTCCTTTAAAACTGTACAATTTCTCATGCTCTGTAGAATCAATGACTTGCATATGGCTCTGACCAAACCAGATAGAGGTAGTTTACCCATGCTACAGGATAGACAAGCTCCAAATTTGGATATTCATCAACTGGTAAGAGTATTCTTAAAAAGAAATTTTGTGAATAAATCTCATTCATTTTTTAAAATATAACTGAAAAGAGTTATAATAAATTTATGTTAATAAAATATCCCTAATAGTTGAATTTTAGAATTAATTGTGTTTTATTTTTAATTACAGGGCCATATTTTGTTGGCACTTTTAAATAAACCTTTTAATAAATCTTCACTGGAAATTCCCAAAATGATTCCAGAAGTGGTGCAAGATTTCCTAACGCAGTGAGTTTTGAAATATTCTTAAGGCTGCCATTTAATATTATGAAAAATCTTGTTTACAGTCAGTAGAAATAAGCCTCTATAGTTATTTTAGTAAAACATTGACTATGAAATAAACCTGACAACTCATTGCTTATTGCTCACACCAAATAATCTTTTTATTTATTTATTTATTTATTTAGGCATTTTTATATAGCGCTTATCATAAAGCTCTAAGCGCTTTACAGTTATTAAAACATGTAAACTAAGTAAATACAAATGAGACACTAGGATAGTAACTACTTACACTTCAGGATTAAACCGAAACAGAAAATTAGGTAGGGCAAGGAGGGTGCATCACAGGTCATAGGCGGACCTAAACAGATGAGTTTTAAGGGACTTTTTGAAAATGGACGAGGTTTCACTATGACGTATATGTTTTTAAAAAAACATCATATCATTTGTTTTTAAAAAAATGGTAGAAACTCTATGTGATGAAGAGTAATGGTTTAATTTTTAATTTACAATATTTTTAAAGATTTCAATTGATTCTTGCAGATGCCTGCAACAAGACAAGGAACTTCAGCAGACTGCTTCTCAATTATTAGAGCACAGGTTTTTAAAGGAAACTGTCCCATTAATACCAGACCTGAATGAGCAGTTACAAATACAACCTTTAATTCCAGGTTAGAAATGTAATACTTTCATCTAACCAATGAAACATATTTTTAATGCAAATTAGTTATGTGAACAATGGATGGTGGGTTCTTAGCTTCATTAGTCTCACATAACATTCCATTGAACTTAGGTTCTGTCAAACTAAATGTCTGCAGTGATGGGCCACACTTCAGTATTTACATTAAGTTGATAAGACTGGACTGAGTGTCGACAGACAGATCTTTTGGACAGCGAAAGATGCGGTGGCAGAGATTGTACAGAGGGCAAAGGATGACTACTGGAGCTCAAAGGTCGAATCATGTGCATCAACCAAGGCGTTGTTCAGCGCTAGTAACCGTCTCCTTGGCAACAGCAAGAATTTCACCCTCCCTACCGACATTGCACCAGAGCAACTCCCTGACGCCTTTGCGGACTTTTTCATCACCAGGGTGCAAACGATCAGGGAGGAGCTAGACAGCGCGACCCCTACACCTTCCTCACCGTTCTCGGAGGACGTTAGTCAGACAGAATCATTTGATAGTTTTCTGCCTGTGACTGAGGATGAGGTGAGGCGAGTCATCATCAGGTCTGCTCCCAAGTCTTGTGCCCTCGATCCTATCCCCGTCCCACTGCTTGTAGAATGCCTTGACGTCCTCCTCCCAGCACTCACCTCCATCATAAATTCTTCGATTCTCTCTGGCATATTCCCTCCCATTTTTAAACGGTCGATTGTCCTGCCCCTCCTAAAGAAACCCTCACTTGATCCAAACACACTCAAGAATTACCGCCCCGTCAGCAACCTCTCCTTTCTCTCAAAAATCATAGAAAAACTCATACTCTCTCAGCTCTCTGGCTATCTTCATTCTCGCAATCTCTATCCTTCCTCTCAGTCCGCCTACCGACTTGGTCATAGCACAGAAACAGCACTGGTCCGAGTCATGAGTGACCTCCTGCGCGCGATGGACGATGGCAAACTCTCTATTCTCACTCTGTTAGATCTCTCTGCTGCATTTGATACCATTGACCACCAGATTCTTCTTGACCGCCTTCATCTTTCTTTCGGACTTACTGGCTCAGCTTTAAACTGGTTTCAATCATATCTTTCTGACAGAACTCAAAAAGTCTCTATTTCCAACCGCTCTTCCAAACCTTCAGCCCTGTCTATTGGAGTTCCTCAAGGATCGGTCCTTGGGCCGGTCCTTTTCATCCTCTACACTAAACCTCTATCATCTCTCATTAGCCACCACTCAGTTTCCAGTCAATCCTTTGCTGATGACACTCAAATCAGTGACTCTTGCTTTCCTGATCAACTTGATGCCACAATCCTTCGCATACAGGAGTGCGTGGACGATGTAAAGCGTTGGATGACTTGCAACAAACTGAAGCTAAATGATGATAAAACGGAAATCCTTCTCATCCACTCTCAAAACAAACCTCTCCCTCCATTCGCTCCTTCTTCTATATCTATTGGCAACTCTGACATCACACTCTCTCCCTCTGCCAGAAACCTTGGAGTCACGCTTACGGACACCCTCTCCATGGACAAACATGTCACGAATATATGCAGATCAGCATATAACGAAATTAGAAAAATCAGCACCATTAGACACCTCCTCTCCTTTGATGCCACAAAAACTCTCGTCTCTTCACTCATTCTTTCAAAATTTGACTACTGTAACATTCTTCTCTCAGGCATTCCTCAACACCACATAGAAAAACTTCAGAAGGCACAGAACTCAGCATGCAGACTCATTTTTAAATCAAAGAAACATGACCACATTCAACCACACATGCGGCAACTCCACTGGCTTCCAATATCCTCTCGCATCAAATACAAGTCTGCCAATCTTTGCTTCAACTCGTTCACTGACCCTCACTTTCCTGTCTATCTCTCTGAACTGTTGCTTCCTTACATCCCCACAAGACAACTACGTTCTTCCATTGACAGTAGAACCCTCTCAATCCCAAGAACTAAAACTAAGACCATCGGTGAACGCTCCTTCTGCTTCCATGGGCCCACGTTCTGGAACCAGCTCCCCTTCCATATACGTCATAGTGAAACCTCGTCCATTTTCAAAAAGTCCCTTAAAACTCATCTGTTTAGGTCCGCCTATGACCTGTGATGCACCCTCCTTGCCCTGCCTCATTTTCTGTCTCGGGTTGATCCTGTAGTAAAGGCCAAAACGTGCCAAAGTGTCCTCGTTTTATAGCCATTTTAATTGTTTCTATAATATAATAGTTACTATCCTAGTGTCTCATTTTTATTTTACTTAGTTTACATGTTTTTAATAATTGTAAAGCGCTTAGAGCTTTATGATAAGCGCTATATAAAAATGCCTAAATAAATAAATAAATAAATAAAAATTAATTCATAATTACTTGAATAGACTAAATTGAATTACGTTCAGGGAGCTCAAGGTATTTGTTGAACTATCCTGAAGTTCTTGAAATAAGAACAAAACACATTAAATTCTGTATTCTTTTTTAGTCTGTTAATTGAGGGCTTATGGTGATGGGCAAGGAAGAATGTGGAATCGGCTGTCTTTCCTAAACCTTTGATTCTCATGTGGTTGTCTTTTAGGTTTTGCTCCTGAACTTTGAAACTTGCATGTTAGTTTCTCATCAGTCCTCAACCCATTGTTGGGGAAGCACTACTTTGAGCTTTCTACATTTCTGTTGCATAAAATAAATAACATAAATTAGGCACTGGAACTCATTTTGTTGCTGCATCTTGGGTCTTATTGATACAACTAAACAGCCACTAGCACCATAATTGATGAACTTAAAAAATATCTTACCACTTGAGACAAGGGTGTCTATGCAGGTTAGGAAAGGAAGCAGCCTTCCCCCCGCCCCCCTTTGGGCCACTGCCTTTGAATTACTTCAGGTAGCAAAATTAGTAAGGAAAAGGAAAAAATACAAATACTATTTTTTTATTATATTATATAATTTTTTAAATACAATTTTTTTTTGGGGTGGGGGGGGGGGGAGATTTTGTTTGGAGTGAAAAAAATGGTAATTGTTTTAGCTGGGAATTGAACCTCTCAGGTATATGGAGAGGCAGAAATATTTTTGTCAGCTCCACTGCGATCTCTGTCATTAACCCAACTAGGCAACACAAATGCTTGTAACCGCAACATAACTGTTAAACAGTGGGGCAACATAACTGAAGAAGAGTGGGTCAGCATAGCTTGTACAAGAGTGGGGCATCATAGCAGGTAGAAGAGTGTGGCAAAATATCTGTAGAAGAGTGGGTCAATATAGCTGGTAGTAGAATGTGGCAACATAGCTGTAAAACAGTTGGGCAACATAACTGATACAAGAGTGGGGCATCATTGCTGCTAGAGGAATAGGGCATCATTACTGCTAGAAGAATAGGGCATCATTACTGCTAGAAGAATAGGGCATCATTACTGCTAGAAGAATAGGGCATTAATCTTATCAAAGTATTTTTATAAATTAAAAAATTCAAATATTATTTTAAATTAATTTTTTAAATAAAGTTTGTAGCTCAGAGCAGAATGGAATTTTACCAGCTCCAGGCAAAAAGACCCTGCTCCAAAGCTGCAGTATGGAATGAGAAATGTTTTGACTGCACAGTGCAAAATGTGAATTTTAAGAATTTAAAAAAAAAAATTAAATTATTGGCCCACTTAAATTAATTTTTTGAAAAATCACTGGATTTGATATTTTGATTTGTTGAAAAATATAAAGAATTATTGAGCTAGTAGTGAAAATGTAATAGTTTGTTAACAATATTGTTATTGAATAGTCAACAAAGTTCTAACAATTTTTTGACTGTAAATAGTTGTATTACTAAAATTAATCAAAGTGCATTTCTGAATCAAACACCACTCCCATGACTGGCATGACTCACACATAGAATTTAACAAAACCAAGGTTTGGGGGGAAGTGGGGTTTGCTTCCACCACTCGAGGATGGGAGATAGACGCCACTGACTGAGACTAGCCTTTGCCCACCCATAGGTCAAATCATTGAATTCTTTTTTTTTTTTTGAAATTGAAAACTGTTACTGTCAAATGATAACTTTGGTAAAACATAAGATATTTTATTTTTATGAGTTTGCTTTACTTTGCTATTGCAAATAAAATTATTTGTCTTTCAGTTATTGAAAATTTACATTTTATTGCAAGATTTAGAGATGCCCAATCAAAATTGTGCAATACAAGATGCAATGAAACAAAAACATTCATCGGGTGTCTCAAATAGTCTGTCCAGATTTGAAACTGACTATGAGCAAGTAAATAAGCTTGGCGCTGGAGGATTTGGGGAAGTATTCAAGGTAAGTTATACTTTGAATTTATAAGTAGTAGAATTATTAATTGTTCAGTAAACTCAAATAACAGTGAAGTAAATGGGTTGGGAGAAGTTTAACCTCATTATTCTTCATCATTTATAAATAGGTGAACAACTTACATTATGCTTCATTATTTGTAAATAGTACAACAACCTACGTTAAGCTTCATCATTTGTAAATATGGAACAACCTACATTGTAACCATTTTAGAATAGAAATCACTGAACTTGATGCTTTGAAGTTCATTTTATGAAATGGCATTCCATTTCCCCATACTCACTCCCCCTGTCCGGGTGAAATAATGGTCAACTTTTTGGAGCAGATTACAAGTTGGCCCTATCCTAAAAGAATAAGCAGTGGGAAAGTAATTGTTGGATTGAAACACCACAATTAATAGGGTGTATAGTTTGTTCATTGTTAGATACGCTTAGACAGCCTCAATATTATATTGCAGCTGTAAAGATGATTCCTAACCTGTGTAGGTCTGTATGTTACTTCTAGTCTAGCCAAACGCTGAACCAATTACCTGTTTGCCAATTTTCCAATGTTTTGCAAAGAATCAATTTATGGCACTGTCTCCCAGATAACCAGGGATTAGGCGGAGGTATGTTACCTGACTAATACTTGACCAGAGGTCAGGCAACAGCCTCATATTTGTTCCATTAAACCTGCTGCTTTTCAGCCTGCTCCTCTGTAAGTTTCCATTAAATGAAAATTTTGCATCACTTTGCCAAACAGCAGTGGCCAACAACAGTGTCCATTTAACATGTTCATCAATGTGCAACAAGTGGCATTGCAGAGAAGATTGGATTAACCAGACATATTTTTTATGTCTCATTGTGTTTGTGATTTGTATTTATTTGTTGAATATAAATTCAAACAGATTCCATCATGTGTTTTAGTCTTTGGAGCTTATTAACATTTTCATTTACAATTTTGTTGTTAGGTAAAGCACATACTTGATGGGGAATGTTATGCCGTCAAAAGAATTATTCTTGACCCTAATAGCAAAGATTATAAAAAGATAATGAGGGAAGTAAAAATGCTATCCCGTCTCAAGCATGACTATGTTGTGAGGTAAGCCATAGATTTAATGCTCTGCTTTGTTCAAGTTTAAAATTCAGACAGGCCCCCATTAAAGTTTCAGTCAGGTCAATTTAGACCATTGTTTTCAAACTTTTTTCTTATGGAGGTGTCATAATCTAAACATAATCTCTGTGGCACATCTCATACCTTTTTTAATTTAAGCCATATATGTAAATCAACAATAAAAAAAAAATGTAAAAGACTTGAAGTAACTTTTAAACTTTAAAAAATGTATTTGACATCAAAAAAGGCAAATAGCTTTACATAGAAATCACCCTCATTAAAATTACTCAAAATTAAAACAATTTTATCTTTGAACGCTTAAGTATTAATTTAAAATATTTAAATGGCAAATCATATACATAAGTTAATAATTTGAGGAGCATGAAACATCTCAACTGGATTTTCTCTTGGCTATATGGTCTTCTATTTTTTCTGCATGTCATTGGAGTGCATCGTATTAACTCTTCCTTTACATCTTACACCATTAATACTTATGACATTAAAAGAGTTAATTTGATTTAAGAATTTCGTTCATAAACATTTTATGATCTAATAGAAACTAACTTTTATTATAAACATTTCTAGAATTTAGTAGAATATATTGGATACTTTGTAAATGAGCGAATGTACTTGTCTATAATTATGGGTTAATTAATTAAATTAATTTAGATTGATACCTCTACAATGTGTCCAAATGTAAAATGGATTTGGTTTGATGATATTCTAGATGTAGATTCAAGATAACTAGAAAATTAATAAATGATATATAATGTTGTGAGTCAGAAACAATTCTAAATGAAGCAAATAATTTCAGTCTTAATTAAACACAATTTTATTTTGTTAACATTTAAATGAAGAGATTGACATTCCAGGTGATAATTTTTTAAATTTGCGATGCAAAATAGATTCCTGAATATTCACACTGTGGTCAGATAAATACGAATGTTCTTTATTGAAATTTTCAAGGTAAGGCTTAATTTTTTTGATAATTACTTTATATATATATTTTTGTTATTATTTGATTCAGATATTTCTTTTCATGGATTGAATACACAAATGAACAAATAACACCTGAAAATAGGAGCAGTGCATGGTCATCTTCAGCTAGTGATTCAGAAAAAACATCTGAACGCTCTGCACATGTTGTAAAAAGTGTTCCAGTTACAAGCATCCTGAATATCACATGTTCAGATTTCATGGATGAAGTTGAAAAATGGATCCCTGAAGTGGTTGAAGAGACTGATGAATGGGGTGATGAAGGTAGATGTTCATAATGCATTTCACTTATTGTACTGTGTTGAAGCTTAAACAAATGTGGGGCTACTCTTTTTAAAAAGAAAAAGAAATATCTAAAGGTTATGATTTACACCAGGGGTCTCAAGCATCTGGTCTTTCAGGTGGTTTGAATTTGATAACATTGATTTACACCATACCCACACATCATTTGCAAACTTTGATTTTGATTTTTTTTAAAAAGAAATTCAAATAGAAAGATCACTACCTTCTCTTATAAGAAAGAAAACATAAAACCAGACCTGTTTACCCTCAAACCCTTAAAATCGTACAATGTCATCACAACATTGTTCAATATATTATCTTAATAGTAAATAAACATACCATATATATAATTATAAACCTCAAAATCGTACATAGTATGCCGAAATTGTAAGAGTAAGCAGGTCTGTAAAACTAAATATTTTTAAGCCGTTTCAAGTTTACGAAAAGTTATTTGAAAAAGCCATTTGAACAAATTTATAAATAGTTTTAAAACAATTATTTATATTATCTAATAATCTTTGCAGAAGACTTAGAACACGACACTGCAAAGTTTGAAAAAACTAATGAAAGATCAAAGTGAGTTTTAAAAAAAATGGTTTTAATTTCTATTTTTCAACACACGTCTGATTAAAAATTTGTGTAGACTATCCTTAATCATGGATTTAAATGTTAACTTATTTGATGACAAGAGTTTTTCAATGGCCTTAAGAAAGATTATTGTATAAAGTGAAAGATTTGGAGGGTGGAAGCTCTGAAGAGTATGTAATTCTCTAAAATATTTTAAAGACTTTAATAACACGGTATTAAACTACCTTTACATCAATATCAAGGTCTATAATTTTTGCTAAGAATCAAACATAAGTAATCTGTTTTATATTTAATCATAAAAGTATGACTTTTAAAGTAGTAGAGATAGGTGTTGATTATAAATTTTATGATAGCCTCATGCTTTAAGAAATATAATTATTATTAGTATGATTATTAAATGTACTTGATTATTATGCCAAATCCATATTTTTGATACTAATTTTAGAAATAATTCTTCTTCCTCTAAATTTCATTTGATTGTAATAATTATTTGGATTTCAAACTATTATAACTTTCTGCAGATAAATTGCAGATAAATTGCAAATTGCCTCTTTGATAAGCGTTAACACATTTTTTTAACAGAGTGCCTAGAAATTATTTTTAAATTGACGATTTGAGAACAATTTAAAAATAATTTCTATGGATTTTGTGAAAAAAATATGTGTTAACATACATCAAAGAGGCAATTTGTTATTTGTTAAAAAGGTTATTTGAAATCCAAATAATTATTACAATCAACTGCATTTTGGAACCTTTATGCTTTATTTTTGTACGATTTCATTCAGATAATCACACATTAATAAATATAATAATTTGATGTCATTGTGAATATCTATGTCTTTTTAACATAATTATACTAGAATAAATGACCCAATATTATTGGGATAATTATGGTTGATCATTTGCGATAATTTCTAACTGCTATTGCAAAAACTCATCCCGATTCATATCTTTTAAAATGTAATGATATTTACGTTTCTAACATGAGAAAGTTTTGAGAAGTGTTTATCCGCTATATATGATATGTGTACCCTACACCCTTTCACGCTCCTAAAATACTTTTTCCCCCTTTAAATATGACTTTAAATTACCCAGTCTAAATTATCACTTATTATATCACTTTTGTCATTAAAGAAGTTAATTGAGGGACAATTGCTACGCTATAGAAATACTTAAGATTTACCCCTTTTCAAGCCCTTGAATTAAACTTTTTCTTTCAAAATTTTGAAAAAACCTAATCTTAAATTTACAACAAAAACTCTATATATGATAAAAATATATTTTGTATTACAGGAACTCGATATATATTGATATCTTTATCAAAAATTTAACCACATTTGTGCCATTTTAAAAAAATTATACATTATCAGAAAATCGTAAAACAAAGAATTCTTTTATCTAAGAAGAATCTCTCAACAGTTTTTCACGCCTATATCAGATTTGACTGTGTTAAAAAAAAAATTAAATTGTTAATCTCATAAAAATACACACCTCTTTACTATTTGCAAAGTACCGTACCAACAAAAATATATTTTCATTGTTTTTAAAAAGAAAATATTAACCCATCTTCATTTGTCAAAATTTAATTTTCAAGTATGTAAAATTATTTGTTTTTGATATTCATGGATATACTTATATAAATGTACCCAAGATATGTTAGCGCTATTGATTTTCTTAATTGGTAAACATATGTTTATTTGTAAAAAGAGAATTTAACATATCTTTTTTCACAAATGTAATACCATAGAATTTAAATATACATTGTCATCCATGTAAAAATGTACACATCCTTTTTCCTATCTCTGATATGTATGTACCCAAGAAGGTTAATTATTAATCAAATTAATTCCTTTATTTTGGGACATATCTTGTATTGCCTTGGACAAAATGAACATACCAATATTTGTAAAAAGAGAATGAAAATTATTTAAAACTATTATCAAAGTTGGTCACTTTGATCAATTATATTTATTCACACATTTTTGAAGAAAAATACTGAAGCTAAATAATATTTTTATTTATATGAATAATTTTTAATCATTGGTTATCTTTAAGGGCTGAAGGAAATTACTCTAAAGATCCCAATGACTCTGTAAGTTTCATTTAAAGGAGTTTTTATTCAATTGCTTAAATAGCAATATAGCAGCTTAAAAAAAAAAAAAACTGAAATAAGATTAAAACAAATGAATGAGATGCATGTATATTTATTGTCTTTAGTGCATCCAACTAATACTGAACACTTCTTTACAGTTTTATAAGCATGAAGTCTAGGAATGTTTATTTCAGTAGATAGACGTATCAAGGGGGAAACTAATTTATGTATTGTTTTTTATTTTTTAAAATATGAAATGAGAATTTTTTTCTATATGTGCTGTAGTTGGAAGAATCTTCTGGGTCAAGTTACCAAGATGGAGAGGATAGTTTGGGTCAGATATTATATATTCAGGTACGTAGATATGAGTTATTGGATTTTTAGAAACATATACATAAAATAATCAATGTAATATGCATATGTTTCATTTAGGAGAGATTCAATTAGTCCTTAACAATCTGCTGGAAATGTCTTTTTGAAATATAAACAGCAATATACCTGCAGTATATCACCTGTGTATAATTAGAAATTGTTTAATGAATTAATTGAAAAAAGTAAACATTGGTGAGGCTATTCCTCACTGCTCGTTATATAGGCCCCAAATATCAGCTTGAAGGCCCCAGCTAAAAATCTTTACCACTGTTTTGATCTCACACAAAGCACTTTTCAGTTTCATTTAAGGGGAGCTCACTGTAAATTGGAATACTTTGTACATTTGTTGTCCTTTTCTTCTTAAAAACTGCCTGAAATGCAACTGTAGATTTCAAAAGTTTAGATATTCTTTTGATTAAGACTAAGCTGTTGGTTTATGTTGCTAATCACATGCTTATGTCATATTTTATATAATTTTAGTCACAATAAAGTATGCTGACCTTGTGCTGGCATTATACATACACAAATCAATATTAGTCAAATCAGTTTTTAAAATTTTATTACAAGGGTGGATAAGGATAGTATTGCCTGTGACTATAAAAAGTCCAGCACAAGCTTTTCTTTTTCAATCAAATTTGACATTTCTAAGCCAAAAGTTGTCTGATTAAGAGATGAAATAGTCTCATGAAATATTTATTCTTTTGATGGTTCTGCAATTTACCAATTTTGAAATATTTTTTGTGAAAATCTTACATACTTCTGTTCTTTAGAAATTTTGGAAAGAAACTATACATTTTTTTTTTTCTCTTTAGTACCAGTCTCTCTCCTCATATTTTAAACTTTCTATAATTTTGACAACTTGTACCAATAAATATAGGCAGTTTTTTTTTTTCATCACTGTAAAACTGAATAGATGGAATGCTGTGATGAAAGAACAATGAAAACAATCATTAATGAAGGACTGTACAAAGACAAGGACCGGGGTTGGAGACTTTTTAAAGAGATTGTTGAAGGATTAGTCCATATTCATGAGAAGGTGATTTTTGCTGCCTGTTTTAAATACAAAATTAATTAAATGTTAATACTCATTCTCATCATTGATCACTCTTAAAACTCAATTCCTCATGTTTATCATTTGTCATGTTTTTTAAATTTTTATTTTGTTTTGATATTTGAGTAAATTTAGGCAAAATGACTCATACTACCAGGCCTTTGTTAAAATGTATTGCTATATTTTGTAGCATAGGATATTTACAAAAGTTTTTAGGCTCAGATTTAATTATACATTTTTGGGGGATTCTGAGTTAATGAATTATGAGGGGTTGGACTGGGAGTTTGATGACTACGTCATAATTCAGGAGTTTGAATTTTTTTTTCAGAACATTATTCACAGAGACTTGAAGCCAGTTAATATTTTTCTTGATCCACATGATCATGTAAAAATTGGAGACTTTGGACTTGCCAGACTTCATAAGTTTACTAAAGTCAAGGTAGGAACTCTTTGGATAAAATGCATTTCTAACACATCATTTCATGCCCTATTTCATGTTACCATATTAGAAAAAAGTTACCTCTCATCTTAGTGGATTTAATAAATAGTTTGTAAATAGTTTGTTGCTTGGATTAATTTCAGCAGTCCAAATAGTGTTTCACTTTTTCTTTCATTTCTGTCTATCTTTGTGATGTTTGTTCACTAGAGAACACTCCAGTAGTTTAAAAAAAAAATTTGTCATATAAATTAACTTTTAAAAAATCAATTTGAATTTTGTTATTATTTTGTTTATTTATTTTGTTTCCAATATTGAGTATACGGTACGCTTTGTAACATCTTGAAATATATTTGCAAGGGGCACTGTTTTTTTTTCCTCATTTTAAAGTTGTAGGAAATACAATAAATGCTTGTTTTAAAAAAGAAGAAGAAAACAAATTGGTACTACTTTTTTTTCAGCATTCTTTAACACATAAATCTTTATATATCTTTTTCATGAAGGAAGGAACAATCATTGGCAATCAGGATCCAGGACAGAGTTCATATCAACACTCATTATCTGACAAGAAGAGCGGAGATGGCAGTTTAACAGGGGACTTAGGCACATCTTACTACATTAGTCCTGAGCTCAAAAATGCCAGTGAGAGCTTTGAGTATGATCAGGTAAAAGTAAAATTTAATTTACATCTTTTACTAAGATGCTGATTTGTCATGAAAGGAGTGTTGAGAATAAAAAAAACATTCTTTATTTTGTGTTACATATTATTTGCCTTTTGACATAATCTGGTAACCAGAAGTTTTAGGGTTCTTAGAAGAACTCTTGAATGTTGAAAAACTTTTTATTTTTAAAATAAGGTGCCTTCATAACCAAGAATATGCTTAATTGCACCTAACACATAAGTAGATAAAACTTAGTTTCGACAACTTAGTCTAAGAGAGATTTCAGTTAGCCACTAATAGATCTTCAGAGGTCTTATATACTAGTTTGTGGATGAAAACTCAACAAGATTTAAAGAAATATATAATTTAGCAAACATTTTCTAGTTGAAACAAAATATACTTTGACTATTTTCCACTAGCAAATGACATCAAATTATAAAGGATATTTCTTTAATTCTTTAACTAAAATATAAGTAAATAAGTATTATTATAGAACCTGCTTTTTATAGATTATCATCTAGATCTGATTACTTAACAAGCAAACTATGCTTTATATTTTCTTGTTATTTCCATATTTTATAGCTGCTGTTCTTTATTCTTTAAAATATTTAATTTTAAAAAATATTTCTATGATATATCACTACTCTGCTATAATAATATAATATAAATTTTATATAACTACTTTTAATTCCAGAAAGTTGACTTATATAGTTTAGGAGTCATTTTCTTTGAAATGTGCTACAGAAGTCTGCCCACAGGAATGGAAAGAGATAGCATTCTTATCAAGTTAACAAAGCTCATGACATTGCCTGAAGATTTTACTGGGGATGAAAGAACAAATGAGGTTATTATACATATTTAGTATGTTCAAATTTTTATAATCTGGAGTGTAGGTGGGCAACTTGAGGCTTGGTAAAATGTTTAATCCATCCTGCAAGACCATCCGAGAACTAAATAAATGTTTTCATAAAATTTAAAAATTGTAAATAATTATCTGTAAAAGCCTTTGATAATTAGTAATCACAGTGTAAAAAGTTCAGCCTGAAATAATAAAATCACAGCACATTTTAAAATTATTTCACAGTTCATCTATATCTAACTTGAATTGGGGTGAATTTTAGAAGCCCATCATCAATGACCTATATTAAAACTAAAAACGTAGATTCCTAATGCATTAATAAACATTGGGTTGGCTATTTCTCAATGCTGGTTTCATATAGGCCTCAAATATCAGCTTGAAGGCTCCAGCTAAAAATCTTTGCCACTGTTTGACCTCACACAAGGCACTTTTCATATTCATTTAAGGGGAGATCACTGTTAATTGGAATAGGGTAATAAGGGGAGAGACTGCAATCAGGTTAGCAAAATGTAAAATGAGTAAAACAAAGTAGGGTTAAACCTGAAAAAAGGAACGCAACAAAAAAACGAACGTGTCGGCAGGAAGCCTTTGTCAGCAAACAAAACAACAGAAAAAAACAGAATAAAATTAAAAAATAGCACTTAGCTTAGAAGTATTATCTATTCTATATTGTAAATTGGAATACTTTGTAATTAAGTTGTCTTTTTTCTTATTTTTTTCAAAAGTTGCCTTGTTTTACTGCCTGAAATGCATCTTGAGATTTCAGAGTCTATAATTAAAATCTTCCTCTGATTAAGACTAATCACTTGGTTTAATGCTGCTAATCACAGCTAATGTCATATTCTGTAATATGATCTAGAGAAATATCATGCGACCTGGCACCATTTTTTAAAATCCCCTCAGCCCTCAGCATAAAAAGGTTGCTCACCCCTGGTCTATAGAGCGTCATCTTTTAGATTTCAATAAAATGAGATTACAATTTTTTTTTTTTTATATTCGCTATATGTAGATTTAATTGTTTAAAAACCATAAATCATACTGTTTTTAACTACAGTTGTAGGTTTATTGTGTTAAAATAAGGATATCAATGATTTTTAGTTCATTATCACAATCTTCTAAAGAAATTAATGGACTTCTATAACTGTATTTTTTACCTTTCAGGCAAAAATAATTTTATGGTTATTAAATCATAACCCTAGTTTGCGTCCAACATCCAAAGAACTCCTCTCTTCAGACTTGCTGCCCCCAGCCAAAGTAGAAGAAACAGAAGTCAAGAAAATACTTGATTCAGCTCTTTGCAATCCCCAGTCTACATCACACTGTCAAATCCTTAAAACTCTATTTGATCAGAAAATCTCAGAGCAACAAGAAGTCAGCTATGATCACAAAGTATTACAGGTATTAATGAGAACTAGAATAATAAGAAACTTAAACCATGTTGTGAAATAGTCTTTAGTGGTAAAATTCTACAAATAAATGAAGGTTTGCAAAGGGCTTTAAAGATATTTGTTACTACAAGTAAAGTAATGACTTACACAAAATTGAAAGTAATTCAGTCCCTTTTTTTCTACAAAAAAATGATTTTATAGCCAGTAATTTTTTCCAGGACATATTTCCATTGACGAAATTCAACCTACTTCAACAGCTGGGAGCAACACTTACTGAAGTTTTCAGCAATCATGGGGCTATTCAAATTCAACTGCCTCTTTTTATGCCAGTGTGTTCAGTGTATGATGGGGATAAAACACTTGTGAAAGTGCTGAACCAGAAGGGGATGGTTGTATGTGTTCCAAGAGATCAGAGAGTAAGCATCATCTTCTTGTTTTAATCTAAATGATGGGGTGCAAATGATGCTTGTTAACACAGTTTAAAGCTAATTATTACATTTTCTAGTTTTATAAAATAAAACTGAATTTATAGTTTTATAAAAATAAAACTGAACAGTTGAGCAAATTTAGAAACACCCAATAAAACCTACACAGGTGCTAAAGTTTTTGGCTTTTAAATCTAGTTTAGAAAAATAATATTAATATTTTGTTATGTACTGTATTAAGAGCTCAACAATCAAATTTTTGTACTTCGGCCAGTGAAAAAAAAATAGTACCGGGTACCCAAGATTTAAGGAAATAAAAATTTGATACCAAAGCTGGTAAACAGACCAATTGACAGTTTATAATCCTGCTATTCTTAATACAAAATACAACTTCAACTATACAAAATTCTATGTTTAGTATATTACAATGATTACGAAAACTGTTACCACACATGCACTTTCTTAGTCTCATCTCGCAGCTGCAGTCCACAGCCAGAAGTCTCTATAATGTCTCTGTCACCAGCCCACAACCATTTTTTTTATATTTCTTGTCAGGGAGTGTTCCAGAATATACAGAACAATTACATTACTAAACTATGGAAGGTCCAGGGGCTTCTAGAAAACACTGGACGTTTCTTGAGTGGTTAAGAATTGTAAAAAGGATTAATTGAACTCACCACACAGTTCATCGGAAGGCCATTTCAGGCCAAAACGAAAAAAAGTTTGGGGATCAGTGGGGAGGGTAACAGACCCTTAAACAAATGTGTCAACAAAGTAAAAAGTACAGCTCATGGCCAAGGTCATGTAAAAATGTCCTGCATTCAAGAAATAATAAAATCAACATAAACATGAGTAATTGAAAGATTTGTGTATATATTTATAAAATAGATCAAGAGATTCTGTAAGTCGTCAATGGTGTTTTGATATCAATGGCTAGTATTAATTATTTACTTGTATGTTGATAATAATATTAGCATTCTCAGAGAAGCAAGCCTCAAACGTAGTTCCTTTTTTTTTTCCTTGTTGGTTTTCAACCTCTACATATTTAGGTAACGACCTATTAATATGTTAAGTTCCCATAAAAGAAACTTCACATTTCCATATCTGTTTGCATAGAAATAACCTTTAGCAGAATCAATTAAAATTTAATTTCACTGTATTCCACCTTAAGAGAAATGTTAATGATTTAGACAACAGAACGAATTTAAATGGGTTTGTATTTTACAATTCTGGTATTAATTTAATAGCCATTAATAAAAAATAGAAATAAACCTGGGAAATAGAAATTGGCATCTTACCCTTAAGCGTTACATTAAACAATTTGCAGGCAGTGAGGGTTCACATAATCACTTATATAATGTCATGTGATATGGCTCTACTAATGTTTGTGTAGGGTATGAACTGTCAACAATGATATGTTATACAATGTCCGTAAATCAAATAATAATTACCACTCAACACATTGTTCTCTTTTAATAAACAAATCTGTCTTTAATATTATCAAACATATACTGGTCCAAAGTATAACTATCATAGTGTAACTTGTTAGAAGAAACTAATACTCCTTTCTCTCTGAAGGTTCTGCTCTAACTCACTCAAAAGGTCTGCACACACTTTCTAAACAATAACAAATTTTCAATATCTCACTGATATGTCACTAATATGTTACTGATACATCAATTATGTTACACAGCGATTTCATCTTGTCCTAAGGCTTTATTTGAGGTTAGTTACTGGATTGCCCTCCCCACTTCATCTTCATTGGGACTATTTTCTAGTTCTTGGTTGATCTTCACCTGTGATAACCGAGCAATGGCATTATCATTTGTAGCAGTTGGACAGTTAAGAAGTTGACAAAAGTGTTCGACCCATCTGTCTATAATCTGACGCTTGCCTGTCAGCAGCTGAGTTCATTATTTGTTGAGGACTGTGTTCCATAGACTTCTTTCATGACATCGTAAAAACATTTGGTATCATTTCTATCAGCATAGACCTGAATTTCATCAGCTTTCCTACTGAGCCATGAATCTTGCATTTCACAAAGTTACTTTTGCACTTTGTGTTTTATTTTTCTAAGAGCATCTTTCACAGCACTTGACAACAACAAAAGTTCAACAATATTCTAACTAACAAGTTAGACACACCATGCACACCAAAACATAACAATGTGCACTAATTTCATTTCATATTCTATACTCGACACCGACATGGGTTAAGGGGCCATGATATCAGTGGCCATTGAAGGCTTCAAGGTGTGGACCACATGCATCCCTCTAATCTAATAATACAAATTACACACCTGATTTAAAAGAGGTTTCCAAGGAACTCCTAATGCATATGTCAGATTTTTCTTGTTGAAAATTAGATTTTTCTTGTTGAAAATTAGATTTTTCAAAAGTTTATTAAAACCAATGGCTTCATTATATCCTATATAAATATTTTAAAAATTGCATTAGTGGGAAGTACATCTTCTGTCACATGATCTAACCAAATGTTTTAAAAGTTCATTTTAAATTTATTAGGTTTTTAGGATCTACTGTAAAATTTGGAAAACCCAACTTTATGAAGTTGCATTTACATACAATTTTGATGTAAAATACATATTGTAAAGTAAAACCACAACAATAATACCATAAAAACTATGCATAGATTGCTAATTTTGTTTCACCAGGTGCCATTGGCTAGATATATTGTAAAAAAAAACATCAACTCAGTAAAACATTTTGCTATTGAACAAAGTTTCAAGGAAGAGAACTCCACTACAGTCATTAACAATGTTCATCCAATGAGAATCACAGAATGCACTTTTGATATAATTTCTCCACCTGGCAGGTTGGTTTGAAGTTACTATAATTTTTTTAAAATAATTAATATTTATTTTTTTTCTTTGCTAATATTTCTGTAGTAGAAATTTTACAACATGGAGGTGCTAACTCCATCCCTAACCCTCCTCCTAACTTGGGACATGCCATGATGGGGTCAGCAACAGCTAATTTTAACTTTAAATTAAAAAAGTCTTATTCCAAAACTTTATTTGCATTAATAGCATTAAAAATACAATTAGCTTAAAATAATGTCATGAATTAGAGTATTCATGCTGTTAACAGAATAGCTAACTGTAAAATCAAAGCTCACTTATGAGGGAGAAAGCTCACTAAAATGTTATAAAATTGATGAGGGAATTAATCTTTTAATTTTTTTAAGAGTTGTGCATGTATTTTTAGCCTAATCCCAGATGCAGAAGTTCTTGTTGTGATACAAAAAATCATCAACACATTTCAGTCATTAAAGGTAATGATGCAGTTGATTTTATTTGACTATTGAACTATTTATTGTGCAGCTTTTTGCAAGCATCTAGGGCTTGCATGAATGTTCAGATGAAAATATATCATTGGAACTTATCTTATTTTTGTTATTTAACCAATATATGCACATTATTTGATTAGTAAATTTCTCAAGTTCCAGCAGAATTAGTTAAATTCCCAATGGATTTTGTACCTAAGGGAGAAAAATAGTGATGGAGATACTATTAATAATGACCGCCATCATTTATTAAAACATTCTTTGTTATTTTCTCAATTTTACAGGATAAAAAGTATTACATTCAAATAAATCATGTATCCCTGCTAAAAGCTGTCTTGTTGCTTCATGGCATACCAGAAAATCTTCACTTGCAAATTTTCAGTTTGCTTGCTGAGGCAGTAAGTGCTCCATTATATTTATAATTATTTTTAGCAGTAGGAATATGGAAGTGTTCATTTGACTTTGTGTAATTATGTTTTTAGCTATCACTTAATGATAAACTCTTCTGAAATTTTTGTAATCTTCATCACCAATGGCACTACAGTGGCTTGCTCCACAACGTACTTCCATTCAGACTGATCTATGGCTTTTCATCTCCATGTATGGACCCCCAGCTAATGTAAGCACCCACGTGACATCATCGTCACCGTTGACTTCAACTGCCCCTATATAGACTGGACCACGCATACTGCCCACTCTCTGGCAAAGACAACACCATTCAGCAGCAATCACTAGTCGACTTAACCTCATCCTTACAACTGACACAAGTGCAGAAGACACCGACACGTCAAAATAGCATACTAGATCTAATCTTAAGGCCAACCCCACCCTTGTTAAACAATTCACGTGTGTCCCAGGCATTTCCGACCATGACGCAGTGGTGGTTGACTTCTACTCCAAAGCTGAAATAACGTGCCAGAAACCCAGGAAATCTTAAAAGTTCGGTAAGGCAAACTGGGACAAGATCAAGCTAGATCTCGCTGTCGCCGAACAGGCTACCCTAAAAAATTACAATGAGGGAAAGGATATAGATACACTATGCTCGACCTTTAAAAATGTCTTATCCAACAGCATTAATCAAAATGTCCCATCAGCGACAGCAAAGAATCCATGTAATCTACCATGGCTGAACACACGGCTCAAGAAGCTGTTGAAGAGAAAGAAAAGACTATTGAAGAAACCCCAATCTACAAACAACGGGACCCTGTACTGTCAGTTCCAAAAACACTGTTGTAGGGAAATAAGAAGAGAGTTGCAGCACATAAATGGAGTCATTCAAGAATTCCTCGAAAACAACACAAAACCCTTCTGGCGCTACATAAAATAATAATAATAATAAAGGGTCTTATATAGCCCGGTACCCCAGCCTAGGGCTGGGCTCACCGCGCTGTACATAAAAATATTATCAAAAGAGACATAATCATGATATTAAAATAAAATACATTTATGAAATAAAGAACAGCAAAAAAAAAAAAAAAATTTATATTCACCCACCCCACCACATAACTTTTACAAGGCAAACCATGGACAGCAGCCAGCAAGATCGTTTATTGGTCAGAGGAGGGGAATCACTCAGGGTAGTATAATTTAAAAAGATGTGTTTTGAGTGCAGTTTTGAAGGCCTGGGTGGTTGGTATATTTCGTATGTGTAGTGGCAAATAATTCCATTGTTTGGGGGCGCAGAAAGAGAAAGATCGTTCACCATATGTTTTAGTGTGTGTCTTGGGAATGGACAGAATATGCCTGTCTGCAGAGGAGCAAAGCCGTCAAAAGGGTGAATAGACAGAAAGAAGTTCGGTCAGATAGGAAGGGCAGGAATCCAAGAAAAAGTTGTGACAGAGAACAGACAACTTGTAGTCGATGCGTGCCTGTATAGGTAGCCAATGAAGGGAATGGAGTAGTGGAGCGACGTGATCAGGTTTTTTTTGCCTTTAAAACTAGCCTAGCAGGTGAGTTTTGAACTTTCTGCAGTTTTTCTATGCAGTGTTTTGATGAACCTGACAGAAGAGAGTTGCAATAGTCAAGACGAGAGAGAACAAGAGCACAGACTATAGTTTTTGTAGCGCTAACTGTGAGGTAGTGGCGTATGGAGCTGATCTGACGGATAGCGATGTATGCTGAACGACAAATGTGAGAGAAGCAAGACAATATAGAAAACTGACAACTTATAAGCAATAGCTAATGCAAAGGAGAAATTCACCAAAGGCAGTTTCAATCTGTCTTCACCAAAATTTCCACTACGGTCATATCATCCCTAAAACCTTCACCTGGTACAAGAGGTTCCCTGAACATAATTGAACCAGGAGTAGCCAAACTTCTCAAAAACCTGAAGCCCAATAAAGTGCCCAGACCTGACTGCATCCCGAACATTGTCCTGAAGACCCTGGCTGACAACATTGCCCCAACCTTAACCTGCATTTTCCAAAAGTCGCTTGACTCTGGCAAACTCCCGCTAGACTGGCTTGATGCAAACATCACTAGTGCCTACAAGAAAGGTGACCGTCATAACCCAGCAAACTACCACCCAATATCCCTGACCTCCGTCCCATGCAAACTTCTAGAACACATCATCTGCCGCCACATCATGAACCACCTTGAACACTACAACATTTTGACCAACCTAAACCACGGTTTCTGCTCTGGATTCTCAACAGAAACTAAATTAATCATCACCACCAATGACCTCTTTGCCTCCTTTGACAAAGGTAACGAGATCGACATGGCCATTCTCGACTTCTCCAAGGCCTTCGACACTGTTCCACACAGCCTTCTTCTACACAAGCTCCACCACTACAGCATTACTGGCAACCTTCACTCCTGGCTCTCAACATTCTTAGCACAAAGGACTATGCAAGTATTGGTGGATGGCGTCCGATCAGGCAAAGCCACTGTAGACTCAGGAGTTCCTCAGAGTACAGTGCTAAGCCCCCTTCTCTTTCTCTGTCATATAAACGACCTCCCTGATACTGTAAAATCTCAAGTGAGGCTGTTTGCAGATGACTGTCTTGTCTACAGAGAGATAAATTACTACGATGACCACAACCACCTCTAAGCAGATTTGAAGTGCCTTATGAAATGGATGGACAGATGGGGCATGAAATTTAACAAAACCAAATGCTGCACAATGAGCATCTCAAGAAAAAAAAACAGCAATCTATGTGTACTCTCTAAACAAGACCATTCTCCAACATGTATCAAATACTCCATACTTTGGAATTCTCTTCTCGAATAATCTAAAATGGTCACCCCAGATAAACAAAATTAAAAAAAAAAGCCAACTCCACACTTGGTTTCATTCGAAGAAATCTGCGCCACTGCCCAACATCCTGCAAACTCGTCAGTCTGCTACTAGAATAAGGTGCGATCTTCTGGGACCCATAACTAAAGCAAGACGTGGACAAGATGGAGCGAATCCAACGTAACGCGGCACATGACTACTGATCCACCACTCCTGGCTTCGTCACTGGCCTCTTAAAAAGATTTTACATTCCCTCCCTTAAAGTCAGACGAGAAAAGCTCAGTCTAAAATTCCTCAATAAAGTGGTCACGGGACTAGTGCCGGCTATCCCAGCTGACACGTATCTCACACCACAGAAGCCAGGTCGCTTAATCAGAGCCAAACTCTCAATAAACACTGACTCCACCTCTGACAACTCCATGAGCAGTTGCATCCGGAACAATGATAAATGCTTCACTGTGCCTCGGTGTAACACAGTCCAATATCACAATCATTCTTCCCACGAACAATAATTGCTTGGAACCAACTGGACAATGCCGTCGTGGACTCGACATCAATCGAGAGTTTCAAGGCTGCCCTGGCACCTGCTAGGAGCTGTTAGGATAGCGGCATCTTTTCCCTAACCGTTGCACATATGCCTGTACATGGATGCAGCAACGTATCCCATCAGAATCAGAATGTAAATAATCCATCTCTGTCTTATTCAACCTTTGAGGAAAATGCTCTAGTCTCTGTCTGTAAACCAATTTTGCTCCACTATATAATTTTGATTTTTCTTTCCAGCACAGCCTGCCTTTTTTTAAAAATTATTACGACTGTCGCTGGATTGTCATACTACTGGTAGGGCCTATATTACTGGATTTGTCAGAAATCTCCATCCATCATAATCCAGCTTAGACATATCATTAAATATATTTATTTTAAAATGAACACAAATTTATTATTATTTTTTTTTTGATGTTGCAGAAATCTAAGAGAAAGAAAATACAAGGTTTATTGAGACAGAACAAGGTTAAGATGAATAAAACAGCAGCTCAAAGGTTCTTCAAACTGTTAAAATCTAAATTTGCCTTAAAAAATGAGACACCACTGGTCAAGAATTTTCCTAAAGGAGGCCCAGTATGTTTAAATATAAAGTTAAATTACTAACATTAACTACGGGAAGTTGGTTTTAAATCATTTGTTAAAATTGCTATATGTAAGTTTTTTACAAGGAATATCTTAAACTATCAATTGAGATTTTAAGATATAAGTTAAAAGGATTAGTTTCCATTAGCAAGTATTAAAATGGGGATTTAATGGAGTGATTGGAATAAATTTAAGACTTAAAATGTTTGACTTTGAAAGAAGTTAACGTCTACAATTGCCAAATAATGATAACCAATCTTAACAACTGAGTAGTGATACACATTCATTTAAAATAATAGTATTTTTTTCTTCCTCAGGAACATTCACTAGCATTGCAAGGATTAAATGACATTAAATCCATTGTACAATATGCCACTATCATGGGTCTTAAATTAGAGGTTAGCGTTTAACAAATTATAAAATTTAAATGATTTTTTTCTTTAACCAGTGTCTTTATTTTACAAAAATCATTAAGAGGCCACTTAAGATAGTGCTATTGATTTGACACTTCACAACTGTCGAAGTCATGTGATCATGACTGAATTTTTTATTATAGTGAGCTCTTTATAATGAGATGTCAAGGTATAAGAGTCATGGTTGGGGTATCAAAGCTTAGCTCACCATAATAAACACAGGAAAATAGAACTGAATAAAAGGAGTAAATAAAGCAAAAGCTAGTTCAGTTCTGTAGTTTAGTACTAGTGTTGTGGAGTTAGTGTTTGATAGACTGTGTTAGATAGGACATATTTCAACCAGGTGGATCTTTGGGCAGAGTCATCCTGTCAGACCTGGCATGTGTTGAATAAGTTCCTAATTGTTGTTCAGCAGAGATTATATATTGATAGGTGGTAGTCAATGTTCCAGCAGTTTTGAGTATCCGCGCAGCAAATTTTTATAAAGATAAATTTGAACAGATACGCTGCACTCGGCAGCCGGAATATTACAGTTTTTGTAATATATACATCTATGATTTTAATTTGATTCATATCTATGTTTTGGTCTTATACTTTTTAACATAGAAATGTTAATTTACATTCTTACCGATAAATACAGAATGAAGCTAACCTCGTTCTGAATCACCGCCTCCATTCATGTAAATTTCGTTACGCATACTGCGCGGTGAATGTGTATCAAGTAAATAAATCCCATATCTCTAGTTTGTAGTAGCTAACTTTTTTTAATAATGTTTTAACCCTTAGGTTTAAACGCCAGTTAAGGGAACTGTCAGCGTCATCACTTGTTAAAAAAGTGTAGATCAAATTTTAAAACGAAATGGTTTAATGTATTTGTGCATGCAGATCCGTCGTCAGGGTGGTCTGTCAAACTGGGTGATATTTTTAAATATCGTTAAATTGATGGTGATGTTGTCTGGGAAATTTCCTTCAAAGCTAATGCAGGTGGTGATTTCTCCACAAGAAAAAGGTGGGAGGCTTGGAAGCTGGACATATTAAACGACATATTAAGGAAAAAATTCACACATGCTGTACAGAGAATTCGTTCTATATGGTCAGGAGGTGTAATGCAAATGCTTACAGAAAGTGCCCCTGATCAAGGAATGAGACAAGAAGCAGCACAACATAAAAGTGCTAAAGAAGAAACAGGTTAAAATTTTGATTGACAGCATCCTCTTGCCTATTAACATGAACACATCTATGAATGCGGTTCAGTACATGCACAACCCTATGGCTAAGTATGCCCAAGTCCTTGATAGCTGGCGCAGTAAGAATTACGCTTTTGGTTTTTTTTATTCTATCAATTCTGTAGTGAAGGATGCTATAATTAGTGACCTTTGCAATGCAAATTTCCACACATTAACAATAGATAACAGCACTGATATATCACTGACAAAAATGTTGATCTTATAAGCAAAGTTTCAGCCATTTCCCGTTAATGTTTATAAGACAGTGTTTTTTGGAATTTGGTCTCAGTCGGCATGTGACAGTAAATCTGTGGAATCAGCAATAACAGAGTTTTATCAAGAGAATTAATTCAAAATGTAGAAAATGGTTATGTATACCTCTGATGGTGCGTCGGTTATGCTAGGCAAGAACAATGGATCTGCAGCAATTCTTCGCCGACGTATTCCACATCTATTGAAAAAACTTTGCGTTGCTCATTGTGAAGATTTAAGCATCGATAATGCTTGCAAACATATAAGTTTAATGGCAGTCAATGTGGCGTGACGTACATTGTCTAGGGGTCGGTCCCCTGCGTACTAGCCACAGAATAATTTTCAAGGGTCTAGAGCCCCTGTTGTCTAGCCCCTACAGAGCTGCTGTGTTGAATAGTCCAAGTATTTATTAAAACAAACGATTCAAAGCTTCAGGGTTCATATGATTTATTGCCTCCATCTTCCTGACAGTGGAAAAATGCATAGTAAACATCCGCTGGTTTTCAGAATACAAAATTTGCGTCCAGAAAAATGCTGCACATAATATAAAAAATATATTTACAGAAGTCCTCTGCCATCCATAGAAAAATCTCTCTCAACGAACTAACGTCCTCACCGCGTTCGTCACTGTCACGCTCTCTGAAACTCATCATCCCTTTTTACACACTCCTATCCTCACGTGGTTCCTCCCGACACAGCACAACGGTCATACCTGACCGAGAAAAAAAAAAATCGTGGGGCACACGGGGAAAAGAAACTCACCCACGATTGGTCAAATTAACATTATAAAAGTTGACACAGAAAAACTCACGCGATCTGACCGTGACAGTCAAGAAACATTCCTTAGAACAGTGTACACATTGTTCAGTAGGTCGACAATACATAAAGCCCAAGTTAACGAACTAGCTAAGATGTTTGAATGTGATTCCGTAGCCTTTAGACCAGACCTGCACAACATACAGCCCACGGGCCGGCGGCCCGCCCGCACCCACTTTGTGGCAGGCGGAGTAAAAAATATTCTTTATTCTTATTATTTTCTTAATAGCTTGTCCTATTTTCTTAATAGCTTTCCCTCTTGTCCTATTATCTTTTGGCCCGCGCAAGTTTTTCATAAAGAATTATGGCCCACCTTACATTTTGAGTTATGCAGGCCTGCTTTAGACCATTGAATGAAATTAGATGGCTTTCGCGGCACGTTGCTTTACCAACCTTGCTGAGAAAAATAAAAGTGTTGACTGAATACTGCGAGGAGCATGTTAGCCTGTTTATGATCCAGTTGAAAAGTACTATTTGAAGAAACTATGGGATCCGCAGTTTTGAACTGCACTGATTCTCTTTGATAAGTTGTTGGTGAACTTGCTGAATTATGCAAGCTACTACAAAGAAAAAATCTTATGACCAGAGGCTTACCAGTTTGTAAACGCACGAATCGCTAAGCTCCGTGCCCAGGACCTTGGTGAAAATGTGCACTGGTCTGAAGAGGTTGCTGATTGCTTGCAAATGACGAGGATATAAACATGAGTTTCATCCTACCTACAATTTGTTGAATGTTTCTGTTTGCCCCTGGACTCTTGTTTCCCTGAAAGTGAGAGTTGATGTAATGGCGAATCTTTGAGAAATCAGCGTTAATCGACACTTCAGATTTTAATTTTGGCCAAAGCGGCATTCCAGGAAAACCATGATGACATTCTCCTGAAAGATAAGGATCAGTATCGTAACTTAAGGTTTGTGCTTGCAGAAAAAATTAAATGTGGGTTGATGCAAACTTTCGACGAGATGGTTCGATTTGTAATGAATGAGGAGCGATTCGGTGACATTGCCATTCTGTTGGATATTTGTGCTACATTTCTTGCATCAAGCACCAATTGTGAACATGGATGCAGCCTAATGAATAAAATAAAAATAAAATCTAGCAACAGGCTGGAAGAGTTACATTTAGGCATGCTTATGAGGATTAAATTGTATCAGAATGATGGCCATCAGATCAACCTTGAGGATGTGAATAAAAGATGAACATTTACGAAAGACCTCCAGAAATGAGTCAAGCAAATGACTAGCGGCCATTGGCAGTGTGTGTGTATTGGAGTTTAGTTGCTTGACCCAACGACGGGATAAATAATATAAATAAATATAGCTTTGATTGAATTATTGTGACATTACTGATTATAATTATTTAATTATAGTTCCTTTATTTATTTATATCAAAGTTTTTGTGCTTAAGTTCATTGATGTAATTTCCATGTGTGTGTAATCTTGTGGGCTGTAAAATTTTCCACACAAAAAATTGATGCTGTAAAACTTTGCACGCAACTGCACACGAACCAGCAAACCTTAGAGGCAACATTGGTGGTAGTGTGTATGTAGACAATAATTATTATATTATATATATTTCAACCCAAGTGCGTTGACTTATTGTGTGACATCATCATCTTCATCCTCCACAATTGACATCTTACATGGCAACATTTGCCACATGTTGAATAATTGACCAAAACATACATGAAAAACATCCTCTTCCATGTCATGGAAAGGGGTCATTCTATCCAGCAGTGTGCTCCTAATCAAGCAACAACCCATTCGGTACTCTTCGGGAAATCATAATAATTACCAAGAGATTGACAACTTCAATTTTAAGTTTATAAATTATTTAATTCATAAAATTTTCCCAGGGTTTATAAATTATTTAGTTCATAAAATCTTCCCATTACTTTGGATTTTGACATTTTTGTCATTGTTTTTATTACTTTTTACATTTTTAACAACCCATTCAGTAGAGTAGTCAAAAGTTCACCAGAACTGAACCAAACTTGATCCAGTACACCACTGATTCCATTGCTTACATTGGATTTTTAAACTCACACAAATATTTGCCATGAAATTACCACCAATTATTTCATGAGTAATTCAGCTGGTATCACAAGCTTCAAAGTTACAAATGAATAAAATGTGAAATAGTTATTGGTATTTGTTAAATATTGTACAATATTTTGAAAATAATTTATTTATCTTGGTGCCAACTGTACTTTTCTTCATTGAGTTAATCTGTCTGTGTTCTTCATTTAATTACTTTTAAACTTGCAAGGACATTTTTTTTATTGTTGTGAAGTGTTTTTACTCAAAATAAGTATTTAATTATATCAATTAAAAATTTTTTAAAATTATTTTCAGGTGGTTATATCTTTGAGTTTCATTCATAATCCCAAAATTTACTCTGGTATGGTGTTTCAAGCTCTCACCAACAGTTTGCCAAATGGCCAGTCACATGTCTTAGCTACTGGTGGTCGCTATGATAAACTGGTAAGTCAGATTTTATATTAACTTGGTCAATGCTATGGCACAATCCCAATTAAGCTTCACGTTAAATTAGTTCCAGGTCAGGAAATATAAATGAAAGGACTGCTTTCAAGCTTAGAAAATGAATCAAAAAGCAAAACGAGGTATGTGGAAGCTTGAATAAGATAACAGGACAAAAAACAAGGACGTTTCGGCGTGAAGCCTTCCTCAGCCAACAGTAGAAATAAAAATATAACAAAAAACAGAGCACAGTAGACAACTCAAGAAGTATCCATTGGTGTCGCCGGAAGTGGGAACACAGGAAGCGCCAGGTCAGGCAACCATATTCACAATAAAGAGATTTTTAACTCAACATGAATTATAGCATTTTTTTCATATTTCATTTAAATTTTGATTGAAATAAAGTAAATACAGTGTATTTCTTTATTTAACCTCCATTGAAATTTAATATATATATATTTTTTAAAAACAGGATTTTAAGATGAATTTCATTTCTCATTCACTTTGGAAAATAGGTTGACTAGCTATGTTTAGTTTTTTACATTGAGAATTTAAAAAATATTCCCAATTGATTTTACAGATATAAATATGCAACAGCCTCTAACTCTTTTCAAGCCAAAATTTGACTGTTATATTTATTAAAATGTAGTGCCATTGTTTCTTTTATTTTTAAAATTATCATTTTAATAATTCATACAGTGTTCAATTTGTAACCTAGTATCGGCAGTATTGAAACCTGTTTTTTCTTTTGCAGATAGAAAGCTTTTTGTCACCTAATCAATGTCCAAATATCTATGAAAAGCCAACTGGAGTCGGTTTCACTCTGATACTTGAAAGTATTGCATTTGTTGTAGCGGAAGATAAACGGGTAAGTTTTACTAAAAAATTTTTAATGAACACAGAGCTCAAATTTATTATTTGAAGAAAAAAATGATATACAGTGGGGCCTCAGAATCTGAATGTCCTAGAGCTAGAAAAACTCGGAATCCAAATGAAAATCTCTAGCAAATCTTAAATCAAAATCTGGATGCTGCTTTGGTATCTGAATGCCCAGTACATTCTTAGAGTGTTTTGTGTGTACATTTCTCCAGCAGTGGGATGCCTTGTTGTTCAGTTTGTTGTCAGAGGCTGTGGTGAAAACATTGTTTGTTTATTTTTGCTTTTGTGCCCATTTCATGTTATTTTTAAAAATATAATAATAACTTAGTGTATTTGCCATGGATCCTAAAGTGTGTAGTGAGAAACGTAAGAGTAAGAGAGGACAACTGTTTGAGCTACAACTGAAGTTAATGAAGATCTTATGGCTAACCATGAAATCATTACATGTGTGTCTTATCACGCTACTATGTTCAGGATGCCTAAATCGATTGTACCATTTCGATAAAATAAATAAGCTATCAGAGCAAGGGATATGGGGAAAAGGGTAACAACACCGACTTCAAGGAGGTCAACAAATATGGATGAGTTAGAAAAAACTTATCTTAGTTAGGTTTCATGAAAAACAGGTGGCTGATGATGTGATTTCTACGACAATAATATGTGAGAAAGCCAATGTCCTCCACAATGATTTAGTGAAAAGCTTGATACTAGTTCTAATAGGAGAAGTTTAAAGGTTTGTAGGGGTAGGTTTGAGAACTTTAAGAAAAGGACTGGGATCCATAGAGTTTATATAGATTATTCAGTTTCTATTGTCCTAAAGGGAAACATTTGTCTTGGAACTCAAATGGTAACCCAAACAGGGTTCTGGAATGGATTAAATTCAGATTCCTAGGTTCTCTGTATTTCCTATGTTTCTGATATATTAAGTGTTATCCACAAATTATATTAATGCTGAGAGGGAGTGGTGTTAGATTACAGGATTTTGTAATATTTTGGGTCTCAATAAAAGCATAAATTTAAGTACAGAAGATTTATGATCATCTTAGAATCTAAAATCATTTTCATGCCTACAATATATTTTGGTGTGCTTACAGATCCATGAGACGACATATTTAAAAAAATCTTTTCTTACTCATATAGTGAATTTTACACCATAGTTATTTTACATGTGTCTGGCTGATTCTGAAACTAATAATTTTTTAATCTTTTGATGCTGGTGTTTTTTTAAATTAAAAAAAGTTTTGTCAGAATTTTAAAAACTCCATTTGCAAATTAGAATATATGCTGAATTCTTTTTCTTTTTGTGATTGCATTATAATTAGTTAAAGATAAAATTGATATATGGTTGTAATAAAAGTATTCATTAAACAGAAAAAAATAATTTTGTTTGATTTTGTTGATTGTAAATTAAATATTTTTATTATAAAAAGTGGTCAAAATGTTCTTTTTATATACCTGTATTAAAACTATATATTTTAAACTCATTTGTGTGTATGTATGGGGAATGGGAGTTTAAAAAAAGTACTGGAGGCTGGAGGGGGGGGGGGAGGCAAAAATATTAGGATTGTTTTTTTTTAAACTTAATATATGGAAAGCCATAGAGATAAAATGATTCAATATTAGTAAAAGTGTAACTATCAAAATAATTAATTGACTTAATAAAATGTTGTTTTTTTTAAAAATGATTAAAATCACTTTATATCGTTCTATTATTTTTGCAATATCATCATCATCAGCTAAATCCTTTTTCAACATTATAATGAAGTTTTTTTCTTTTTCCTTAAAAATTATTAAGTCATTATATTTAAACATTAAAACAGGTACATTTCTAAACCCACTTCAACAGAAATAACTATGGCATTGAAAGTTAATTCAACAACTGTGTGGTTTTTTTTACTTTGGTTGAAGAGTGAATATATTATTTATATCATTTATATCATTTATCATAACTCACGTAAGGTGACCATCTTGCATTGTTATTTAAGCAAATTTTAATAAAAATTTTTTAAATTGTAGGTCAGGAACCCTTCGATTGATGTTGCTTTTTTGATCAATAGCGAAAAATCAGTGCATGAAGAACTTACTCTTACTAAAAGGCTTTGGGATGCTGGTGTAAAAACAACAATCTTGGATAAGGTAAATGTTGGCAATAATATAAGAATGATCTCTCTTTCTCCTCTCCCTCAACCAAAGATATTTATATATAAAAATATAATAAAAATGTTTTTAAAACAATGCTTAGATAAATTTCATGACTATAATCAATTGATCCATTTCTCAGTTCTAAACTCCTATTAATAATTTTCCAATTTAAATTTTGTGTCAACTTGAGATGCATATCCTCTCCTACTAAAAAGGATTAATGGATTGTCACTTGATTTTAGCAGTCTACAAAAAAATGATGTTAGTCCTATTTTTGGTGATTATCATCAGTCATCAGTAAGCCCCTTTAAAAAAATGGCCCATACTTAACTTCATACTTTTGATTCACAACACTAAAACTTTTTGAACTTACATAATTAAAGCAAGATATTTCTTTTTTTTAAACATAATGTCTCACTTCCAATGCAGTTAATATGAAACTTTTAGTATTATGCATTGGCTGCCCAAGTGGGAAGAGTACACACAAATGTTACATAAATTAGGCCCCCAGTGTTACGTTATACGTTAGATTGTACTACTACTAGGGGGTATGACTAGGGGTATGTTTCAATCTATTATTTAACTATTCTAAGCTAAAACCACTCCACTCACACTAACATTCAATGGCACTCTCTCACTCGCTCACTTCTATTAATACAATCACTGTATGACTATAAGAACGCAGGTGGTTCAGCCCACGAATAATAAATATTTAATTACAAGTAAAAAAAGAACTAAATGCATACATGGTATTACATATAACATAAACATGTAAGAACATTAGGTATACTGTCTAATACTCATTGCTTTGTACTAAGTTACGACTGGCTGGTTATCTTGTCCTCAGGTAGGCCCCAAATCAAACACAGCAGCTGTAGTCTGTTTGCCTTCCCTCTTGCTGGTCACTGTGCGGTCTGGGATGTAATAGGTGTAGACTCTAACACTCTAACAGTGGGCATATGTGACCTGTGCTGCTGGTGGGAGTTTAGGGTTATCTCCTGTAAGCCCAATCTTAAAAAATATTTGGCATCCTTCTGTCTTCGCGAGACGATGGAGTAGCTATGTACACTTCAACTAATGGCTAACTAGGCCAATCCTGGAATGGTAATCTTGACTGCATTTCTTGCAGGAGAATATTGACTCATGGTTAGATTTGGCCTTCCGTATTGTTCTTTTTGTTGCAAGGGCTTCATTTTACGCATCTTCTGCCCTTTTTACTCTTTCATACACTGCTGTTTGCCAGCTGGAACGTTGTTCAGCAATGATCTCCCATTCGTTGATTGCAATATTGGCTTCACTCATGCTCCTTTTGCAAACATTCATAAATCTCAGGTGTGGCCATCCAATAAGTCTTGACCCTTGTGCCAACTCTCCATACAGCAGCATCTTTGGAATATGGCCTTCCTCCATTCTACTTACATGGCCTAACCAGTGAAGGCACCTCTTGCTAAGAGATGCTTCTTGCATCATATTTGTTTTCTATAGACTAATTGACAGTCCAAACTCTTTACAAGTGTGTGACAGGCGATTAACTAGCGCTTAAGACCTTCTTCTGTGTGCGATGTTAAGGCGGCATATTTAAAAAATATAATTAATTAATTTGCTTTCAGATAGAATCACCAGGCTTAACATGTTTTCGAGAATGCATGAAGAAAAACATTTTTACAATCTTGCAGTTAGAAAAGCCAGGCATTGTTGAGGTAAATATATTCATTTAATGGCCTAATTGATAACTATGTTCAATCAGGTAAGATACAAAATATTTATAAAAAGTTTATCAAGTTTAATTAGCCTTTTTCTCATCTAGTTAATTTTATTGTAATAGCTTATTGTTGGATGTATTAGGATTAGGGGCCATCCCTAATTTTATATTTTAAAAAAAACTCCATGCCCCATGCATAATTACAATAAAATTTGTTGATTAAAGGGCGAAGTTTTGCAGCAGTGGTACAAATATTTTTACAGCAAAAAAATACTGCTTTCAATTTTTTGTTTTTTTCCAATTAATTTAGGGGTGTTTCTAGATTTCATAACTTTATGATTCATACACATGTTGGCATTTATCAAGACTACTCTTCTATCTTCATTTTTGTATGCACACATATCCATATTGTCCTTAAATAACGATTTACCTGTACTCTCCTCCCCCACCTTGGTATGTAAATAATTTGTTGATGACTCCATAGAATAAAGCTCTATTATTTTAAAATATTGCATTTTATGGACCCATTTAAAATGATATCTAAAAAAATTACTAAAAAATTGCCACAAAAGAAAAAAGACTTTTAAAAAAGGTATTTCAATATATTACTGACAAGATTCAAACATTTCATTTACAAATGAAAACAAGTAGGCACCTAACCAATTTTTTTTTCTACATCTAAATTTCTATAACATAAAACATTGAGATAATATGCATTTCATATGGTTTAAAACTCAACATCCTCAATGGCGCTATGTCTCACTTCATGCATAAATGATTACTAGTCTTGTAATTCACTCTATTTTGTTCTTCTTTAAAGGGTTTCTGGTTCCTAAGTGTTTCTTTTTATTGCTAAGATGTGCAGTTGCCTGCTACAAACCTTTCCTTACTGTCAGTCATTATTTCATTTTGCTCATTGATGGTCCTGGGATTTTAAATGTGCCCACAATAAAATAATGAACATTCTGTTGATTTTTACTTACAACAAATATAGTTTGTAGGCTGTCACAAAATTTGTGCTGACTTATTGACTTTTAAGGTTATTTTCACTTTTGAAATTTTGTTTGTTTTATTCTATTAGGTGAGGTCACTTTTTTTTGGATTTCGAGGATGGCCAGTGTTGTCTGTGCCGGCTAATAATCTGATTATGTATTTAAAACAAAGGAAAGAAGAGGAGGAAAAAAACCCTAATATTTCATTGTTAAAATCCTTTGTACTAGATATGGCCAGTTAGAAAATGGCACCTCTGGTAAGCACTTACATGTTAACATTTAATTTGATTGCCCAAATTTACAATTCAAACAACTAATTTAGCCTAAATCAACCTTATCATAATATACCAATAAAAAATACAAGTCCAGCTAAATGTCAACTTTTTATTGACACTGTATTACATGCAAATGACTTAGAAATCAAATATTAAAATTTTAATCAGCAAAATGAATTCATATAACAGTAAAACTGCAAATTTGTTGAAATGAAAATTGGTCATTTAGGTAATTTGATTGTTTTTCTTCTGTTTCTACTATCAGCCCAGCAAGATGACACTTGACCCATTGAGTTTCTAAAATATGACAGCATTTGATGAACTTCAAAAATCCTCTCAGATCTAACAGTAAGAACAAGCAATACTTAAATCTAGCAAATGCTGAAGAGTTATGTGAATATTTCTTAGGGAAGGTGATATCATATCTATATTGAAACATACATTGCATGGGAAATACATTCAGTTACACTCTTCTACTTCTAGTATTGTGTGCTTAAGTTAAAAATGTAGGACTATCATGGACATGGTTGGTTTGTCAATAATTTCCAGTAATGCCACTTAACATTATTTTGTTAAATAACTGCTGTAATTTTTTTGTATAATTTTTATAGACTAATGTTTGTATTGATATTGCTTGTTATTGAAGCTATTTTAGTTTTAGATCCTTATATAAATTAAGGTAAATGCAAAGAAATTGCGCCATGTTTCTTCCCATGGCAACCATCTTGGTTGACATGACCCATGAAAGGTCATGGATCGTGTCAACCAAGATTGCGTCTGAGAACAAAAAAAAAGTAGTGAAAACACACGTGGGGTAAAAAAAAAAAGGAAAAAGAAGGGTGAAAATTTGTTATTTCAAATAATTACCAAAAGACAGGAAAATGCAATTTAACAATAAAAAATTTAATAAAAAAAAAAAAAAAAAAAAAAAAAAAAAAATAAAAAAAAAAAAAATAAAAAAAAAAAAAAAAAAAAAAAAAAAGGAAATCAATGATAGTTTTTAAAAAGTTCGTTTTAAAAAAAAAAATGTAAACTAAAGGTGAAAAAAAATTTTTTTTTTTTTTAAAAGTGAAAAATTCAACAAATTACAAATTTAAAAAGGAAAAAAAAATGAGCAAAAAAAAATTCAAATTTAATGAAGTAAAATCATGTGATAAATAATTTTAGTGGTTGATGGCCACCATCCCTAAACCTAACCTGAACCCTACACCTAATCCTGAACCCTAAATATATCCCTAAACCTAACCTAAAACCTAACCTGAACCCTAAATCCATCCCTAAACCTAACCTGAACCCTAATACTAAACCTAACTTGAACCCTAAATCGAACCCAGAAAGCTTAATCTCCTAAGCCTAAACCTCAAACTCAAGTAAAAAACATGCAGGCTACAGTTACTCACAGAAATGAAACTGTAAAAATGAAGAAATACAAAATAATAGTAACATAATGAAACCCCAACTTACAGTTTGATGGAATACTCTTTTACACACTTTATTTCATGTTCCAACGAAATTAAAATCCAAAACTTATAGATAATCAATAAAATACAATATCAAAGCCCTTACCAAAATTGTATGGGCTGCAGTAGGTAGCACAGTGACATAACATCATTTTTAATCACTCCTTTTTCTATATCTGCATAATTTTAAAGTACCTGATTAAAAAATTAATTTCTATACTTTTCATTAACATTTCGAACATTCTAAAATTTCCACACAAAATGGCAAGTAATTGTTGACATAATATTTAACTTTTATTTTAATATCCATTAATTATTCACATGAACTTTTCTAGCAACAGTTAAATGGTGAAATATTCCTTCTTCCAAGGAATTTACCGTAAATTTTTAACGAAATAAATAAAAATTTTATGTTTATTTAAAGAATAATCATTTTATTTTGTCATTTATATGAAAATAAACTCAGAAAACGACCAAAAAAACCAATATTTAATAAAACATTCCTCCTGCATATTAATACTTTAAATAAAAAAATAATGATCTCAATTATAAACAAAGGGGAATAAGTCATGCCAGAATCTTAAATAAACAGGTAAATAACGTCATGGCACATTCTCTTTGCATGGACCTAAATTAATGTTAATAAAAAGTACAACTATTTAGTAATTAATATAATGATATATTGTACAGTTTTGAGTGAGGCCATATTAATATGCTCTACATTCTACAGACTATTTTTAAATTGGAGATTCTATTCAAAAAAAGTTAGGTTCACATTTTGGTATTTATCCAATTTAAAAAAAAAAAAAAGCTTCTACTGATTAAGTATTGACCTAAAGGTACTTAATATTCTACTTTTCAATCCCCATGTTCCTAAAGGTTCACATAATGTCAAAATAAAAATCTATTTTTGTTTAAATTTGCTCCTAGCTTAACCCCACTCTAACTTTTGGAATTAACACATTTTCTGGGCCATATTGGTGATCCAAATGCCAAGGATAGTTCAAGGATAGAGCTAATATATGAGATGTCAAAACTTAGTTTATTATGGAAAAATCAACCACACAATTTTTGTTATTAAAATCTAGTCATTATAAGATATAACCAAAGCTTGATATAAGTTGAATGCAACCAACTATTTTTTTCTAACTTTTGTTTAATTCTAAACAATTTCAGTGAACAAAATTTTTTATTATAAATAGATTGTGACAAGTAAAAACTATTACATGTCCTGTGAATTTTATGACAAAAGCTTTATTAGTTTAATAGTTATTTATGTTTTTTTTATGTTATTAAATTAATTAGTTTAATCCAATTTCTGAAATTTTTCCGAATTTTTCCTGTATTTGACTTGTAGCTCCATGATACTTTTGCTATTTTTACAAAAATCATGTTTCTTGAAATCAATATGTCTATTAAACAGTTGTTTTTAATTTTGTACAAAAAATTTTTATGAGCTCTGAAAGTTCTGTTGGGACAATCTGAAAGTTCTGTTGTGACAATCCCATAATTAAAAGGAAAAAGAGATAAAGAAAATATTTTTCAAAGAGCCCTAAAGACAATTGTACATTATCCGTTAATTAGGATAAATGTAAACCCTATCTATAGAGGCAACATGTATATATTAAATTTTACTATAGCGGCTCTCAACATTTGGGTTGCAACCCCTGGCGGGTCACTTCAAAATATTCCAGGTGTCACTTGAGAACTTTAGAAATTTGAGGATTTTGTCGGTAAAAATTAACTAAATATGTGCAATTTCATTTTATTTGTTCCACCTTTCATTAAAAAGTTTACAGGAATCGCCTACTATCTAGTTTAAGTTGTCACTTCACTTTGACTACACAACAACTGTATCATTTTTTTAAAAAGCAACAAAAATATTATTCATTCAGTAGATTCAGCCATTCTCTCAATTTACAAATTCTGACAATTTATTTTCATTTGTTTATAGATATAAGTTTTGTTTTCTGTTAGAGCCTTAAGTTTAAACTTGCTAGCTTCCACCAGCATTTTGTTACTTTTAATTGTTGATCATTGGCTACAATAAACATTTCAAATTGAAAATTTAAAAAAAAAACATGTTATCGCCTGTGTGTTGAATTTATTTTACTCCAACATAGAGCTTAAGTTTCCACCACTTGTCTCCCCATTTTTTTTTTTTGATATTGACTTGTGTAGCACTGTACCATAGCCCAGGCCTCCCTTAACAACCTTTTCTTGTTTACTACCTTATTTGTTCTAAAGAATGCTATCGTGGATGCAGTTTGTAGAATTTCTTTTCTGGAG